AGGATTTAGATGGCCTAAGTAAACAGCCTTCAGGAAATTAAACCAAATATATCTCAAACTGTTTCGGAAAAACCATTACTCAAAGTTAAACATCGAAGGTCTCACATTTTTTTATGATTATAATTGCTAGCTTATTTCCAACATTCATCTTACCAGATAATGTATCCATTACATAAAACACTCAGAAATAGTTAAATACAAAAAATAAGTAGGAAAGATTTATAATAATGGGTAAAATATGAGCCATTGCTAGTAAATAATAGAAAGTTAAAATCTTACCATCTGGAGCAAAAATATTAGTGTAGTTAAAAATCTTGTCAGTTTGTTGAATCTATATTCAAGGTACTAAAATAATGTAAAAAAAATACGTAACCTGCCTCATGAGCAGTCGTAATACCCAATTTATAAAGAACTGGCATGTAGAAAAAAGCCGCTATAGGAAACCCGACAAAATATGAAAGGGTAATGATAGCGAATTGAACTCCATTGGAATATATTTCAAGATTGGTCCCCATCAAAGTGATGGCCGATATAAAGCTAGCCATTACGCTAGCAGTAATCGGGATTAATGTAAGACGTCGACCTCCGAGAAAAATTGAGGTGGTATCCTCTACAGTAGGGGCTGATTTAAATCCCAGTCTAATGCAAATTTTATCACGGAAGCGATAGTACAATCCCACAAGTGCATAAAAAGCTAAAGTCAAAGCAAAAACTAAATAATCGGACCAATGAAAATATAGATATTTTGGAGATTCCATCTAAGAAAAATTGAGAAAAGGGAGCACTGTGGGTGCGTGATCGGAGAAGAGAAAAATATGTCAAATAGTGCACATGGAGAGTGAATTCAAAGATAAAATAAAACAATATAAAAAAGGAAATCTATGTAAAGTAGAAATTCAAGTAAATAATAATTGTTTTTTATTTAAATATTTAGTTTCGACTTGGGAAAATTGATATCAACATATTTTTATTTTATTTATGCAAACTTATCTCGAAGGTAATTAGGCATTTGCCGATATTTTAGATCTATTTTTTGTCATTATTTAAAATTATTAATTAAAATGCAGTTGTAATTATGAACCTAATTTTCTTGACTGCAGTTTTCTTCTAAGCTCACGAATATCTGATACGACTATGATTTTAAATTTAGGTATTTAATTAGAGTTTCGAGACCATCAGTAATTATGAGATGCATTAAACCTATTTCATTTAAGGTGATGAAGGACTGGTAGTAGGGTAAAAACATTTCATATAAACTTTGAAATAGCTGAATTCAATATGATGCATTTACGAATTTATGAATATTAGAGCTATGGTAAAATTAGGAAGTTTCATAACCTTATTCCTAATTTATATTTAAAGACCAACTCCATTCATGATTTGAGATTATCTCTACTCTGCGTCTTTGATGGATATAAATTATTCCACAATTATTGGTCGTGGCAGCCTTAGTATCCATGACCCTCTAAATGCGATAAATGAGTTATAGTTAAACTTTTTTAAATAATGTAATACAAAGGCGTTGAGATTCAAATAAATTTTAATTGAAAAGCTTCGGTGTCACTTGATCACAGTAAAAGTCCTAGATCTAAGATATTGCACGTTTCAGGCCAATAATCTTTCCTCATTGATAATTCAAATAAGCCTTTTTTTAATAAAAAC